AAGGGGTGGAGCCAACACAGCAGGCCTGGGGATCGAACCCCAGGCCCCTGGGCCTGCTTGCAGGTGCTTTAATCCACTGAGCTATGTGGCTGGCCCTTAATTATATTTTTAAAACTAGCATAGGTGCTAATGAAATTAAGAAGCATGGCTTCTATTATAAATGAGTCCTATTTCTAATGATTTCTAGTCGTGAATCTATGTAAATTCAAAGGAAAGTGAGAATAATTGTAGCAAACTATAATCATAATTTGATATTATCTTTACCATTATCTAATTTACCTTTCCTCTTCTGGAGGTTAGCCATTTTCTCATTAAGATGACCATTCGCTCTCACCCCCACCTATTGTGTAGCAGCCCGGGGTTTGCACCTGTCAGTGAAGTGACTCATAAAGACCAGCATGCATATTCCAGAGAGGGAGGAATGTCCGCAGCTGGCAAAACAAAATGCTAGCTCCATGTGGACAGAGCCAGGATTCAGTGTGCCACCCTCTAGCAAAGCGGGAAGTTCAGCTTACACCAAAGAGCAAACATTCATATGGTATTTTTTTATTTTTTCTTGTTAATGAAAAGAGGGGCTATCTTCACCACTGTACTAGCATTGTCTTTTGGAGAGGCTGAATAATTATTTGCTTACAGGAGATACGCTTTAGCACGGTCTTATCTCTAGTCATTACACAGTTGATCATTATGTACAAACCAGGAGCCTCAAAATTAAAACTAATTTTTACCATATGTGATTTTAAATACAGAGTTTTTAAAAATAAATTTCCAGTTACTCTTGTGACTTTCTATATACTAAAACAAGGTACAAATGTCTTTCTGCATTTTATTTCAAAGTGATAAATTTTATCATTTTGTTGCTATTCTGAGGATTGATTTTTCATTTTGAATTAATTTTTTCCCCTTTAGCATACTGAAAAAATGCCTCGTAAAGCTTGGAGCTCTTACTCCAGTAATTTCTATGGTCTACTATACTGGGTTTTATTTTTTTTTAAGACAGAGTCTTGCCAAGTAATTCAGGTGGGCCTAAGCCCAATCTGGCCTCACACTCATGACAGTCCTCCTACCTCAGTTTCCCAAGTGCTGGGATCACAGGCGTGCACCACCAAGACTGAACTGCCTACTGTGCTGTTGAAAATAAATGACAGCCAACTCACTCTGTTCCCTGGGTAATGGTGGTTATAGTGGGCTGTGGCTTCTGAGGACAAGTGAAGAAGTGGATCCCAACAGCCTCATGTCACTTTGATGACCCCCAGTGTTTTCAGGACAAGGAAAGGGGATAATAACAAAATCTTTGCATTGCATTTTTTAAAAGCTGGCTAATGATTGTGCCATGGGCTTTCTTTTGGCCAGCCTCTTATCACATGGGCCTTGGAAGTCCGAATCACACTAGCTGCTAATAGTGGGAGATACTGTCTTCTATGAAGTTTGAGGTACTTACACACTAAAGGAGTCATTATTTGGGTAGTTGTGAGACCACCAGAGGACTTTCTGAGATTATGGATACTGATAGAGTAAGAGTTTGACTTAGAAAACTAAGTTAAGAGCAATGATTACAGCTGGGTTCAGACTTAAGTCAGTCCTAAGAAGCCTCTGATCAGCCAGGGAAAGATCAAAACTATAGATCTTACCCCAAATCTTTGTCTTTACCTAATACACTAATAAGTCTTGAATTATATTTTTAGTATCAACAAAGTTAACATATGCTTGTCCCAGCTGTCAATAAGTAGGCCACACTTCAAACTCAAAAGCGTGTGTGTGTGTGTGTGTGTGTGTGTGTGTGTATGTGTGGTATGATACTGGAGATTTAACCCATGGCCTTGGGGTTGGGGAGATAATTCTGTGGTCTCAGTGCCTGCCTGGCAAGCATAAGGACCTAAATTCAATCCCCCAGTCCCCAGCACTACATGCAATCACAGTGCATAGGAGGCTGAGACAGGAGGATCACGGCATAATGAGACCCTGTATCAAATAAATAAATAATTTTTTTAAAAAATGTTTTACCCACGGCCTTCTCATTGAGCATATCTCCAACCCTTTTTATTTATTTATTTTAAGATAGGGTCTTAGTAAATTGCTCAGTTGTCTAGGTTAGGCTTGAACTTGCAATCCTTTTGCCTCAGCCTCCCAGAGCACTGGGATTATGGATGTGCAGCATTCTGCCCAGCTTTGAAGTGTTCCCATCTTAATTTGCCATTTTTTTCTCATTAAAAATATGAGGCTCAATCCCCTGTACCATGTGCCTTGTGGGCTCAGAAACTGGGAGCGGAGGTGCACATCTGTAATCCCAGCCCAGGGGAGGCTGAGACAGGCGTATCACTACAAGTCTGAGCTGTGTAGTGAGATCCTACACCAAATAAATAAATGAATGAAAAAAAATTAAATAAATAAAAATGCGCTTTAGCAGGAATTCAAGAAAATATTTTATTTGCTAACCAAGAGCAAACAATGAAAAAGGAATAATCTGAGAAAATGAATAACTTCTTGGAAGTAACAAAAATATTTTTAAAAAGACAACAGACAGATTACATAATAAAATTGACATGGGTTCTGAGCTAATTAATAATCTAGATGATAAATTCTTGTCCACAATGCAAAATGGCATACAAAAGTAAAAACATGATGCATAGATCCAAGCATTCCAACACCATCCCAATAGAAATATTATGAAAGTAAAACAGAAGTGAGATAATAATAAAAGATTTTATTTTTTAGGAACGTGTCTACAGGGTGTTCAGGGTCTCACTACTAGATCAGACTTGTAGTGATCCGCCTGTTTACAGCCTCCCAAGAGCTGGGATTACAGGTGCACATCACAGCACCCAGGCTCAATTGCCATCTCAGCACGCCCCGGGGGTGGGGCTGGCAGGGCAGGCCCAGGGATCGAATCCCCAGCCCCTGTGCCTGCTTGCAGGCACTTTAATCTGCTGAGCTATTTGGCCAGCCCAATGAAAGAAATTTTTAAAAATTTCTAAAAGTCATAGGGCCAGCCAGATAGCTCAGTGGATTAAAGTGCCTGCTTAGGCAGACACAGTGACCAGGGTTTGATCCCTGGCATGACGTGCCATGCTGGCCCCACTCCTGTTAACTCAGCAGTGAGAGGGCATGCTAAAACCATTGAGACTGGGCATGGTGGTGAACGCCTGCAATCCCAGCACTTGGGAGCCTGAACACAGGAAGATCACTGAGTCTGATCTGTGTAGTGGGACCCTGTAGACCCAGCACCAAATACATTTTTAAAAAGTCAAGGGAACATAAACCCCCAAATATTAATATTCAGACTGAAAGACTCAGCAAGTGCTATCATGCTTTTAAAAAGAAAAGCAGGGGCCAGGGAGATGGTTCAGTAGAATAAGCACTTGCCTGACAAGTGCAGGGTCCTGAGTTCAATCCCCAGTACCACAAAAAAAAAAAAAAGAAAGAAAGAAAAGAAAAGTAGTTACTATGTTGTATCAAATCGCAGATATCACTGTCTGTAAGTTCCACTATTGCTTTATATAGCACTAGCAAAAAAAATAAACTGCCAATTAAAACATGACATCCACACTAATTGTAAAACGTCTCGGTTTGAAAGATATGAACATGTTGAGTGGGGCAGAGGCTATTGTCTTAGAATTAATGAAACAGGCTGGGAGTGTCACTCAGTGGTAAAACTCTTGATAAGCATATTCTAGGCTCAGTGTATGATACCCAGCACTAGGAGAGAGACAGGAGGGGAAAAGGAAGAAGAAAGGAGGGATGGAGGAAAGAGAGGGAGGTAGAGAGGAAGAAGGGAAATGTAAGATGAATGTCCCAAGTTCCTAATCTTCATTATAGGAGAGTCCAAATTTATAATAAAGGCTACTATTTATAATAATAATAGCCTAAAAAATCAGGAAGGAGTGCTGGGGGTATAGTTCAGTGGTAAAGTGCATGCTTCTCATAACAAGGCCCTGAGTTGCATCCCCAGAACCACAAAATAAAAGAAAAAAGAAAGCTTAAGTCCTAGGAGGGGAGAGTTGTATGCTCATGTATACTATTTGAAGCACATGAGTGTGTGCATCTTCAATCATGGAAAATCCAAAGTGACGTAGAGAAATAAACAGGTCTGTCTGTAGAGGTGAGATGATATCCAGGGCCTGGTGCCAGATGGGCACTAAATAAAGTGTAGCTTATGTGGTTATTATAGTTTGTGTTGTTTGCACATGGGGTTGCTTGTGTGAGCTGGATTCTTTCTCCCTGCTTCATTATACTCCTTCAGATATATGGAACGTGGGTTCCAAGGCACATTCAACACTTTGTGGTACCCTCACGTATGTCATATGACTTCTGTGGGGACTTTCTTGTGGCCCCTGCTGGGTCTGGGCTCCTCTCACCGCTGAGTTAGCTCAGGTTCCAAGTCTCGTGAGTTCTGTTTACTGTCCCAATTTGCACTTCCTTTAATCAGGTACCAAATTCAATCTGTGTCTGCACTTTCTATGAAAGTGAACACCTCCTGAACCTACTACACCTTTGCTGTGTAAGTCTGAGGGGACTGAGGAAGGTAAACAAGAGGCAAAGTTTACATCAGGGCTGGGGACATAGCTCGGTAGCATGAGTGCCTGCCTGGCATGCACAAGGTCCCGAGATCAATCCCCACTACTGGGGAAAGAAAGCAAAGTATACATCACCAAGGTGCCACTCCAAGTTGAGCATTGGAACACCAGCCTGGGCGTTGGTCACCAACAGCCCAGCAGACAGGAGTGCTTCCTGCCTCGGGGCTTTGCCCTGGTCATTCCCCATCTTTATTCTCACTTCTGATTGGGCCACGAGTTCTCAGTCTCTCCCCTTATGTTTCAGGACAGTTCAGTTCTCTCTCACGTCAGCTCCAAGACTAGGCTTGAGACCTCCTCCACTGAGAAAGACAAGCCCACCAAGATTGACCAAAAAAAGATGAAGGAAAAGCTTTTGGATGAAGGAACAACTTTGAAGAAGAAGATAGAAGTGGTAAGTAGCAACATTTCTATTGTATAGAAATATAGAAATCTATAACCAAGATTTTTTTCTTGTATGATACCAAACCCAAGATCTCTTGCATGGTAAGCAATAAGTACTGCAGTACTGCAGAATAAGGTACACCAGAGTAAATATACTCCTGGGGATCAAATCTATGTGCTCACACAGTAGGCAAGCACCCTACCACTGAGCTACAGCTGCAGCCCAGAACCATGATTTTTAGATCCAGTATATTTTATCATTTCCACGTAATCTGTCATCCCCTGTACTGGACAGATACAGCATTGAAAATTCATTGTGCACACTTACCTGGCAGGGGAGATACCATGATCATGAAAATTCAGTGTGATCGTCATTTTGAAATAAGGCTTTTAAGCTTGTGGCTTCATTGGATAATAACTGCCTGTTTCATTGGTTACTTGGTGTGTTTATTGTTTATATAAGCCAGTAAAAAAATTCTCTTTTCTGAGAATTACAGAAAAATCACAACTTTATGCATTATTTTGAAGTGTTGCATTTACCTCATTTTATTGTCTAATCAGCTTAAACTTAAAGCACCTGCTGTACATGAAGAAAGGAAGACAGAAGCATCATTGCCTCAGGTATGTGAACAGCTACTATGACCATTACTGCTAGACTGGTTCTTATTTGTATGGATTCTGACTCTCCTTAGGAAGTAGCAAGGACTTTGGAATCAGTTATGAAGAGGGAGAGGATACAATCGCCTTTAGCACGATTGTGTGGTGCTTCTTCATCATGGCCTCCCCAAACTCTCCCCTGCATGCATACCTGCAGTTCCGCTGCTGGAGACACATCCTATTTGCTAGAATTTTTGTCCTCCTGCAAAATGTCAGTACTATTGAGAAAATGTCACAGTACTGAGAAAAAAGCTCCAGTGTGATTAAATTACCCAGATCTTTTTCTGAAAAGTGTTTTGCTAGAAATGGGGAAGGGAGTAAGTAGGGGCAAATGCCGCCTCTGAAGAAAAGACAGAGGATTCCCTGGAGGACTAGGAGAAAGAAGATTACTGCTTTGCAGTATGTCCTAGAGGGGCTTTAGTCTCTCCCAGGAGCTGGAGGCCTAGGGATCTGAATTCCTCTGATTTATAGGAATTTGCAAGTCAACCAAACTAGAGGCTTTCTCAGAATACCTCTGATAGTGGCTAGAACATGCATCCTGTGTGACAGGAGTGGCTTTTTCAAATTTAGGGAGGGAGACCGCTCACTGCCCATGTGATGCACTTTGTAATGTGTTTTGTTGAAAGGATGAAGAAAAAGAAGCCCTGAAAGAACAAATAGAACTACTGAAAATAGAGTTGGAGAAAGTGAAACAGAAGTTTGAAAGGTACTGGCAGTAAAGGTTCATGGTTCTCTATTTATAGCCCATACAATATTTAACTCTATGTAAATTTATTACAGATTTAGAAAAGAATCAGAACGAATAAGCAAAAACTGGGAGAAGAAATTCACTATTCTCAGGAGCAGGTATGATGTAATGGTACATAAGAAAAACGTCATACTCATATTTAAAGGAAGTTAAGATCTCTTTCTTTACATATTAATCAGCATTAATTTTCCCATACATTTTGATTTTAAAAAGAATAAAAAAACAATAAATGCTGATGAAGTGGGAGAGCTTCCGGCTACCTTGAGCCTGTGGGACCTGCCATCCCAGCCCAGGCACAGAGTGGGTGAGACCCTCTTCCAACCCCTTGGGGCACCCCCCCACCACTCTGCAGCACCTCCCCCACCTCGCCTGCTGAGTAGGAATTTCTGCCGCCTTCTGGGAACACCCAGATCCAGTACTAGCCCAGGCCCGGTGAGTGTGTGGGAGAGCTGCCTCTCCACCCTACCCCACCTTGTCCCCTCCAGACTCAGCTCAGGCCTGGCATATAGGCCTGGAGTGAAACCCTGCAGTTGCAATTCCTGCAGAGAGTATAGGGGACAGAACCACCCAGCTAGTGCAGGAGAACATCATGCCAGAGGGGCACAACAGGTTCACACCAAAGGATAGTAGCAAGAAGGAGCTTAGCACAGCACCCAACCCAAGCCAGGCACAACTGCATAAATCCAAACGTTGTAGATCAGCACCTGACTTGAGTAGGTGCTAAGGTTATAACCACAACAAAAGATCTACAAAAAAGGTGAGAAGACAGTGCTACACAAAATGACAACAAGAAGGAGCAAAATGCAATCTCAGAACCCAATCCCAGCATAACAAGCACAGAGGACACTAACACAGAACAAAGTGGGAGTCACACAGCTGAAAGCAATGAATTACCAGCTTCTGAAATAAAGAAACAGCTGCAGAAAGGTATAGAGGAACTCAGAATGAAATTTAAAAAAAAATCCCTGAATTAATAAAATCTGCAGTAAGACTCAAATGCAGAAACATATGGAGGAAATCCAATGCCCACCCAGAACAAGTGCAGAGGACACTAGCTCAGCTCAAATGTATGAATTAATAGCATCCATAGCAAATAAGCAACAGCAGAAAGTCATAGAGGAACTCAGAAGGGAATTTTCTGAAATAAGAAAAGAATTTGCTGAACTCATAGCATCTAAAATAAAGAATCAACCACAGAAATATAGGGGAAAACCCAACCTGAAAAAAACACTGCAGTAAAAGAATTAATAACTGCTTCTAAAGAAGACATTGATAAAAAAAAAATAGAGCAGATTAGAAAAATGCTGGATTCCTTGAATGAGCAATACAGGAAAGAAATAGATCACATGAAGCAGAGTCAAAGAGATATAGAGGACTTTAAAATCTCAACC